TCACCAAAAAAAAAGCTCTCAACCTTTTCTCTTGGGCCAAAAATGCCAAACAGTGTGCAGATGCTGACAGCAAGGTGGCTTCCACAGAAAAGACTTCTCTCCTCTTATTAAAAGAAATATGGCACCATCCCCATGTCCTTCAGACCTGGAATAGACTCATGAATCCAATGTCATCTGGAAAGGCTCCTACTCTCTAAAAAGAATAAATGGAAGAACCACTAGACTCCAGCTAAACACACCTGTGAAAGGATCGAGCCATCCGCACAGCAGACTGCACTGCAAAAGCTTTGGGGTTTCTCTTCCGCGCATCTTCCTCGTCTCCAAGTTGGAGATCCTGCAGGTGCCGTTTCCTTTTCTTCTCAGCTTTGGGCCCACTGTTTTTCTTTCTGTGTTTCTTCTGGTCCTTAGTCTCCATAGTGGCTTTTTACCAATTCTCAAGTAACTCTAACCCACACAGAATTGGGTGAAGGTAGGGGAAACATTTTACAATCCAGATAATACCCAGGAAAAACAGTAAAATTCATTTACTTCTTTATGAAAAGATATGTATTTGTTCACCCAAGAGGGATAGAAACTGCTTAATATTATCCCCAATTTCACTTCTCTCTGTTATGAGATAAATTAAATTAGTTACCTCTGCTTAGGTTACTCTTTATTCATTGTAAGTGTCTACACCAGCACTGTCCATTTCTGTAATGATGGAAATATTCTATATCTATACTTTTCAACCACTAGCCACATGTGGCTACTGAGAACTTAAAATGTACCTAGTGAAAATGAGAAATTGAATTTTTAATTTTATTTATTTCATTCAATTCTAAATTTAAATAGCCAAGTATGACCAGTGGTTACCATACCAGATAGCTGAGGCCTAAATATCAAGTGGACTAAAGAAGTGGTTTCCGAACCTAAACGTTTTTAAGATATTTTATTTTAAAAAATTAAAGCACTTTAATAACCCTCCAACATGACAGCAGTATTACTTTTAGTGTTTGTTGACTCTGTAAAACTTTTAAATTACAATAATCGTCTATTTACATTAAAAGTGAGTATCTATGTGTGCGAAATATGATTCTGGATGATGCCGGGAGACCACATGGATTTGCAGAAACCCTTACAATAATTTCTGAGAGTTCCAGGAATTCACGACCCACAAACTGGGAACCACTGGATTAGTGAGTTTTTTAGGAAATAAGGCTGCACACAATCCAAGCGCTTGGTTAAAAACAAGGGGGAGGAGGGGCCACTTCATTCAATTACAGTACTGAATTGATTTCAGCTCAATAAACATTTGTGTCTGCCTATGACGTGCCAGGAGATGGCTACAGCTATGATGTGGCCAATGAAGGACATCCAAATGTCTTCCGTGTGTATTAAGGCCCACATCAAAAGGCTACACTGTAGGAGGTCAGTCAGCGATTTCCCACGGCCACACACCAGCGGCATAGAAAGTCCATATACACCAGCATAATGTCAAGAAACACTGGCCGGGAGCTAGGAGAGCTGGGCTCTAGGAACGCTTACAAACTAAATAGCTGTGTGATTTCAGAGATATTATTTTTCTTCTCTACTATATTTGGTTCCGAACTTGTACGGATCCCTTTCTCCCAGCGAGGGGGCGGGGAGCGGGACAATTTGGAGTCAACAGATCGGACTCAGGTCTACGTCACTTGCTAGATTACGCCGCCATCAAACGACCCCTCATCCCTCCCCGCCACCTCCCCTCCCCGTCTGGGCTGTCTGCACCGATTCATTCAGCCACTCCCCCAACAACCTCGGAGCACTTCTCCGGCAGGTACGAAATATGCCTGTCCAGCGCATGAGGCGCTCCTCGGGACTGTCCGGGAGGATCGAGGGAAGACCTTACCACGCGCGAGACTCGAGATCCTCCCAGAGCCTCAGTCCCGGGGACCCCACTACCACCACCTCCCCCCAGCCAGCGGCCGTTACCGGGTTCACACTTGCTACTCCGGCTCAGGCCCGCATGGACAGCGCCGGAAACGGAAATGCACTGTGCGCGCGGCCTCTACACGCCGGCGGGGAACAAATAGACAGAAGAAAGAGACCGGCGGACTTTCAGGGGAAAGCCGGAAGGCAGGCTTGTGATTGGCTAAGGGCGGGCGCAGACGGAGTCTGCGCTGTGCGCTCCACCTGGAGCCACGCCCCGCCACGCTCCGCCCCGCCACGCTCCACCCCGCCCCAGGACGGCTGGCGCCCCTGGGCCAGTGGCCGTTTGGAGAACAGTGCGTGAGCTAGTCACGCCTGAGTCCTGCCGGAGGCTGCGGCGACAGCGCGGTTTGGAACCCGTTCTTTGGTGCGGGACAAAAGCCGGAAGTAACATATTTAGCTCTGGTCACCGGGGAGTCACCGCGCCTGTCCCCTCCGAAAGCCTCAGGCATCACGTTCCCCAACTGCCTAAAGGAATATCTCCTGGTTGGGAGTCGCTCTGGCTCGTCCACTTGCTCATCTTTAAAGATGACAGAGCTGGAGACTTCTCGGGCTTCCTTAGTGCTATAATTCCCTCTTTTCCCAGGACCAACAGACTCTGAGGACAGGGACAAACTCTGACCCTGCATGAAATTCCTGGGAGACGGGCTTTCCCTGGGGAAACGCAGCCTCTTGCAGTTTTCTTCGAGCGCAGGTTTGCCTTCCCAGGGCTCTGCCCATTCCCACCTGAGGGACACCTTGGAGTTCATCTAACCCCCATCTCAGGTGAGCTGGGATGCTCTTTGCCTACAAAGCTAGGTACATTTTCAGAGTTTGTATCTCCCTCTTGTCTTGGAGGTTTTCTTTTCAATATGATCCCACCAGTGGTCCCGAGGCAGTTCTTCTACCCCACAAAACTAGGCTTACTCTGTAACTGAGACTCCCTGTGGTTCATGCCTTTTCACACGGGGCTTGTTCTCTCCCTCGGCATCCACCGTGCACTGCGCTGTGCTAGGGAGGCTACCGCACAGGGCACACACTTCCCTCATCTGTGAAGACCTTACAATTTTGTAACTCTCTCCAACACGACCCCTCTTACTTCTTGGAGATCTTGGTGTACAGGTATGTAATCCTTCTAACATCCTCTTGGTTCCACGAATCCCACTCTTGCCTTCTGCCTTACATCAGCCTCTCATTCCTCCTGTGATCATACTGATCATACCCTAGACCTTGTCAGATCCAAGGCTTGCAACCCCTGAAGCATCCCACTCTGACCACCACCTCCTGTCTTTCCAGGTTACTCCCGCTAATGCTCTGAAACCAAAACTCCCCTAACCCTACCAGTGCCCCTAATCCAGATGTTACTGCCTTCCTCTCTGATGGCTTCTCTCTCCCTATTAAGCTAGCTTAAACTCCATAGTCAATGATATCATCAGTCTCTTGCATACTTCCTCAGCTCCCTCACCTCCCTGTCACTTCATCATATCTGCTTGGTAAAATGAGAGCCCTAGATAAACCCAATTTTCCATCTACTCCATGCTACTGCAATGCAACTAAACATGGCTGGAGGAAAACCCAAAACCATGCTGACCGCCCTCACTTTAATAATTCCAGCTTTGCCTGGTCTATGCCACTCTTCTGCATGAGTATTTCATACCTCCTCCTCTCTCTTCAGTCCTTCCCACCAACCCCCTTCCTTGCGTCCTCCTTCACTAGGAAAATGGAAGTGGAGACTCCCACCACCACAGACTTTCACCACCACATCCACCCATGTCCCCCTCTGCTGCCTGCCTATTACTGTAGATGAACCACCACTGTGTCCACCTAGAGGAAGCCTGCACTTCAGTGCAGGATCCCATCATCTCCATGGCACCACTCCAGCCAGTCTATTCTCTCCCCAACATTTCAGTTTTTACCCGACTACTCCTATCATCATGCAACATTCAGTTTCTGTCATCTTCAAAACAAACTCCTCTTGACTCCATTTTCTATACCAGATACTACACCTTTTCTCTGCGCCCCTTTGTAGCAAAATTTCACAAAACAATTGTCAGTATGTTCTCTGTTCCTCTCCTCCTATTCTCTCTTAATTCACTTGGCTCCCAGAACATCATCTGCAGCCCTGGCTGCTCCTCCTCTATGGCGTTTGCTGGTTTTTCCACTCCTGCCTGACCCGTTTAAGATGGAGAGAGCCCACAGTGCTCAGCCTTTGGGCTTATCTTCTGTGTTGATACTTATTCCCTGGGTGATCTCATTTTGTCTTGTGGTTTTATGTGCCATCTGTATCAGTTCTCAATTTATTGTATCTCTGCTACAAATTCATACTAATTTCTTACTGTGCAAGAATGGAGTTGGGCCCTTTAAATATTTTTCCTTTGACTGACTTGTTAAGTTTGGTCAGTACATGTCAATATAGAGATTTTGCAGGATTCAAGCAGTCTTTCTTACAGGTTCTGCTCCATTCCGTGGCCAGGCTTCTGCAGGTGGGTGACTTCTCCAGGGCCATCTCCTTCAGTACGTGGTGGCCAGGAGTTCCCCACTCCCTTTCCCCCACGACCTCCCGGAAGTTTTGTCATTGAGTTACTCTCCTGAGACACATCCGCTTCCCCCAGCACTTAGAAAGGGACTTCCAACAAGTTCCAGTGGGCAACCTTACAGGGACTCCCCTGACACGAGTGGGCCATGGCCATACTACTCCAGTGAGCTCTAGATCTCAGTTGGCGGGGGTGAGGGGGCCCTTCCTGGGCCTTCCATCTCTGCCATAGGGTAGTGGCTGCTCCTCAGATCTGCTATTCTTATATTCTTTAGGGGTCTCTTCTTACTAGCCCATGCCTCATTGCTGCAATACCCTGTTGTAGCTAATAATTCTTAATATAAACTTTTCCTGTTCAAATTACTGTGTGGTTTCTCCTTCCTGATTGGGCCCTGACCAATACACCATCATTTGCCAACAACTCCCAAATTTACATCATGACTCAGACCTCTCTCTTGAACTTTGGCTGCCTCCCTGACATATCCATTTGGATGTTTAATAGACATCTCAAACATAACGTGCCCAAATGAAACTCATGATCTTCCCTCTCAAACCAGCTGCCGAGTTTTTATTTCAGTTAATGACAGTTCCATCCATAAAGCTGATTAGGCCAACCACCTTGGACACATCCTTGTCTCCTCTTTTTCTGTCCTCCATATCCAACCTGTCAGAAAATTCCTGTTGACACTACCTTTAAAATATAACCAGAGTCCAACCACCTATTACCATCTCCAGTACTACCACTCTGGGCCGAGCCCCATCTTATCACACAGATTCCTGCAAAACCTCTTGATTCGTCTTCCTGCTTCCATCCTTGCCCTTGGACAGCCACTTCACAATGCAGCAGCCAGAGTGACCCTGTTAAAACATAAAGCACCACTGGGAATTTAAATTGGTATAAACAGTCTGGAAAATGGTTCGGCATACTTATTATTACTGAGCATAAACCTACCCTATAAGCCAGTGACAAGAAATATATACTGAAAGACATGTACAAGAATGTTCATAGCATTGTCCAAATTTGGAAAACCCCAAAAATCCATCAACAAAAGCATTAATAAACTGTAGTATATTCATACACTGGAGTAGTATGTAATAATGAAAATAAACTGCCATGAGCAAAAACTTAGATTATGTTTAGCAAAAGAAGCCAGATACAAAGGAGAACATGTATGATTCCATTTATATAAAGTTTGAAACTAGGCAAAATTAACATATGGCAATAGAAGTCAAGAAAACTGTTACTTCACAGAGGAGGGGATGTATGACTGGGAGGGGCCGTGGGTGCAGCTTCTGGAGGGCTAGTGATGCTGTTTCCTCATCTGGTGCTAGTCAGTGGGTGTGCTTCCTTTGTAAATATTTACTGAGCTGTACATTTGTGCTCTGTGTACTTTCTGAATGTATATCCTATTTTAATTTTTAGGTTTATAAAACAACAAAAACACGTAAGATCAAGTCATTCCTCTACTCAAAACCCTTCGATGGCATCCATTTCATTTCAGGAAAAAGTCAAAGTCCTTACAATAACATCTCAGCTCTGCTTGTCTTGGTTCATCTTCTCAGACTTCATCTCCTATTACACTCTCCTTTGCTCACTAGCCTTCGGTGCCACTGGCCTCCTTGCTCTTCTGGGAAGACGCAGGCATGCTCCTGCCTTTGAGTCTTTGCATTGGTTCCTCTTCCTCCAGATATTCATGTAGCCAATTCCTTCACCTTCTTTAAACTTTTGCTCAACTGTCCCCTTTCTATAAGGCCTTTCCTGACTCCCCACCTTCACCTCAGATCTCCCAGTGCTCTTATCCTGCCCTATTTTTGATAGCATTTATCATGTTGAAACATGCACACATGTAATTAACTGTCTCTCCCTGCGGAGGGCAGGGAATTTGGTCTGTTTTATTCAGTGGTGTATCACAAGTGACTAGAACAGTCCCTGGCATATAGTAAGTGCTCAGTTCCCACTTGTTGAATAATGAATGGATTTGAAAATGAAAATGTGTTAGGCAGCTTCTGACCTGGCCCCAATGATCCCTACCCCCTGGTTTCACACCCTTGAATTCACCCTTGTGTGTGAGCTGGACTTACTGACTTGCTTCTAATAAATGGAATCCAGCAAAAGTGGTTGGATGTCACTCACGTGGTTAGGTTATAAACGACTGTGACTTCTGTCTTGTGGGTATACTCTCGATTGCCATCTCAGATCACACATTTTGATGAAGCAAGCTGCCCTGTTGGGAGCCCCAAGTGGCAGGGAACTGAGGGCAGCCTCTGAGGGTTCCTCAGGCTAACAGCCAGCACAGACCTGAATCCTGCCAACAGCCACATGAGCGGGCCTGGAAAATGATCTTTCCCAAGTCAATCTCTGAGATGACTAAAGCCGAGGTTGCTGTCTGTGAAAGACGCTGGGCCAGAGTCACCTTGCTAAGCTGTGCCCAGAACCTGACCCACAGAAACTGTGAGATCAAAGTGTTGTTGTAAGCCACTAAGTTTTTGGGCAATTTGTTGCTCACCAATAGATGACATAGAGGAAAAGAAAACATGAAACTGTTAAACAATATTCATAGAAGGAAGAAGCAGAGAAAAAACATGAATGCTTATCAAGTACCTACATTTTGACAGGCACTTCCAGATGCTTTTAATGTATTTTCTCAAAAATGGATATAAATGGTGTATTAGTCAGAGTTCTTGAGAGAAACAGAACAAATAGGGTGTGTGTGGAGAGAGAGATTTTAAGGAATTGGCTCACGTGTTGTGGGGGCTGGCAAGTCTGAAATCTGTAGGGCAGGATACCAGGCCGGAGACACAGAGAAGAGTCAAGGTTGCAACTTGAAGTCTCTGGGAGAATTCCTTCCTCTTCAGCAGATTTCAGTCTTTTCTCTTAAGGCCTTCAACTGATTGGATGGATTGGATGAGGCCCACCCACATTACGAGGGTAATCTGCTTTCCTCAAAGTCTACTGATTTAAATGTTAATCTCATCTAAGACAAAAAAGACCTTCACAGCAACAGTTATGTGGGTACTGTGACCTAGCCAAGTTGACACATAAAATTAACGGACACAAATAGCAAAGTTATCAGATTTCAGATAAGAGAGAAAACATCATCGTGGGCTAGAGTGCTCAGGCCGTTCTTCTGATGATTCATCAAAAATGGGTTAGAATAGTTGAGGAGGATTAGGAAGGGGTCTACATGTAAGAAGAGACACTTGAGTAAGACTTGGAAGCATTTAGGATAAGGAGAAGTAACATTTTTGTCCATCAGGTACTTATTTCTTTTCATTATCAAACAATGCAATGCTACTGGCCTCCAGTATAAAAAATAATGCACAGATCAGATATAAAGAATAAAACAAACACAGGTGTACACATTACCCAACCTAAGGAAAAGAATATAAGCAATGACTTTAAAGCTCACTGTGTGCCCCTCCTCAATAAGATCCCGAAAAAAGTAACCACTATTTATAACTTTGTATTTATCATTACCCAGATGTTCATTATAGTTTTATTGCTATGTATACTTCCATAAATAATATGTTAAGTTTTAAATATTTTGGGCTAATACATAGTTTTTTATTATGTGATTATAACATAATAAATTTATTCATTCTTCTGTCTATGAACATTTGAGTTGCTTCCAGTTTTTGTTTTTCTTTTGCAAACAATGTCTCCTGTTACATATATGAAGTTGCCAGATCTTAGGATATATATATATCTTTAGCTTGTAGAATACTGCCAAACCATTTTCAAAAATGAGTCAGTCATGACAACAAGATACCACTAAATACATATTACAATGGCTAAACATTTTTTTAAAAATCAACAAGACCAAATGCTGATGAGGCTGTGGAGCAACAGGAGTGTTCATTCCTTGCTGGTGGGAATGCAAAATGGTACAGCCACTTTGGAAGATAGTTTGGCAATTTCTTACAAAGCTAAATATACTCTTACCATACAATGTGGCAATCATGCTCCTAGTTATTTAGCCAACTGATTTGAAGCTTACATCCACACAAAAAACTGCATGCAAATGTTTACAGCAGCTTATTCACAATTGCCCAAAAGTGAAGCAACCAAGATGTCCTTCAACAGGTGAACGGAGAATAAACTGTGGTACATTCAGATATTGCACTATTATTTGGTGTTAAAAATGAAGGAGACACTGATTCATACAACATGGACAAATTTCAAATGCGTTTTGCTAAGTGAAAGGAGCCAGCCCCAAAAGTTTCATTCATATGACATTCTAAAACATGCAAAACTATAGGAATGGAAAACAGATAGCAGTTGCCAGGGATTGGACAGAAGGAACGTTTAACTACAGAAGGGACACACAGGAATTTTTAAGGAGATAAAACTATAAATTTCCCTCCAAGCACTACCTTAGCTGCACTCCACAAGTTTTGATACATTGCATTTCTATTATCCTTCAGTTAGAAATATTTCTAAATTCCCTTGTGACTCTTCTTTGACCCTGGGTTACTTAGAAGTGTGCTTTAATGTTTTCAAACATTTGGGTTTTGTTTTGTTTTGTTTTGTTTCGTTTTACTGATTTCTATTAAAATTCCATTGTAATTAAACATAATCTATGAGTTCAGTCTTTCAAAATTCATGGATTGTTGTTTTATGGCGAAGCACATGGTCTATCTTGGTGAACATACTGTCTGCTGTTGTTGGGTGCACTGTCCATAAATGTAACTTAGGTCAAGGTAATTGATAGTTTTCCAGACCTTCTATGTTTTTACTTATTTTCTGTCTAGTTGTGCCATCAACTGTTGAGATAGAGAAGTATTAAAACTTCCAACTCCAATTATAGATTTTTCAGTTTCCCCCTTAATTTCTGTTGAATTTTTCTTCACGTTTTGAAGCTTTATTATTAGACATGTATACATTTATTGTGGTGATGCCTTCCTGAAGAACTGACACTTTCATGTTTCTGTAGATTATTTAAATGTTTTTCAGTATTCTAGCTTGATTTCTTTATAATGTTTTTTAAGCATATCACTTTGTATAGTTTTCTTAGTGGTTGTTCTGTGCATGATAGTGAACATACATAACTTATCACAGTCCACTGTTATTGATGTTTTACAACACTTTAAGTGAACTGTAGAAAGATTACTTCCATTTAGGTTCCTTTGCCCTCCTTACTTATTAAATATAATTGCCTTAAGTATTTCCTCTACATACATCGAGCACTACATCAGATGATGTCATAATTTTTGCTTCAGCTGTCAAGTAGGATTTAAGAAATTCATGAGAATTAGGATAGTCTATTATGTTTACCCCTATTGCTAGCCATTCAGGCATTCTTTTCCTTTGTGCATGCCAAAGCTTGTTATAATTTCCTTTCTGTTTAAAGAACTTTCTTTAGCCATTCTTAAGGGCAGGCTTGCTAGCAACATATTTTCTTAGTTTTTCTTTGTCTGAGAATGTCTTTATATGTCCTCATTCTTAAAGGCAATTTTTGCCAGTTGAGATTCTTTTCTTTCAAAAATGGAAAAATTTTGTGCCACTTCCTTCTGACCTTCATGGTTTCTAATGAGAAATCCAGTGTCATTGTCACTTCTTTCTCACTGCTTTCAAGATTTTTTGTCTTTAGTTTTCAGAAGTTTGACTATGTGTCTTAGAGTGGCTTTCTTTGTATTTATCCTCTTTGGTGTTTGCTAAGCTTCTTTAATCTGTAGGTTTGACTTTTGTCAAATTTGCTAAGTTTTAAACTATTATTTCTTCAAATACTTTTTCAGGACTACCTCTTCCTACTCTCTTCTGGGACTCCAATGGCACAAATGTTAGATCTTCTGTTATAGTCCCATAGACCCCTGAAGCTCTGTTCATTTTTTTTTTTCAGCCTATTTTCTCTCTGTTC